TATTCAGCTCGCGTCCTGCCGCCACTACAGCCAGTGCCTAGCGGGCCAAACGGAAACAGAGTACATCTACGAAAGGTAGTACATACTACTGCACTTCATTTGAGACAAGACTTCTGTTCTTCGCATTACGAATCGTGAGAAACATTGCAGATACTCCCTCCGTTCCATAATGTAGTGCTTATAGATTTTTACAAAAGTCAAACATTACAAACTTTGGCCATATTTATAGAGAAAAGTAGGTACATCTAGATTCTAGAATATCAAATGCACATCACTGGATACATCATGAGTTATATTTTTAGAATGTACATGTTTGATATTATAGATGTATAATATTTTCTCAATACGCTTGGTCAAAGTTGGCAATGTTTGACTTCCACAAAAATCTATAGGCACTACATTGTGGAATGGAGGGAGTAAGACTTAAGTTCTTCACACTCCAAACATCGAGAAACATAACATGATACAGAACTAAGCACTAACATCAGTGATGGCAGAGTTTCTAGGGGTTCCAAACCTGCATTATATTAGTGGGAATCAATCTCATGCTTACATAAACAAAATCGCCGAAGCTGCAATGACTAATGACTAAGGGCCTGTTCGGTAGCCCTCTGGCTTCTCAACTCCACAACTCCACGTCTGGAGCGCACCCGAACGGTCCAACTCCTGGCGATGCGATTGAGAAGCTGGCTAACCACGCAGTGCAAATTTGGAGGAGTCGTGGAGTAGAGAAAATGGAGCTCCACAAAAACAGAGAAGCGAGAGTTGGCAGAAATTACATAGGCATGCCACCGCCAAGTGAGACTGCGTACCGTTTCGCTCGACCCTTTTCTATTCCGCAGCGACGCGACGCTCGTTCCCTTCCTATCTGTCGTTAGTTATTCCATCCCACTGCGAGCAGCCCACCCATTATGGTCCAGTGGGCCAAAAGCAACGCTTTCGGCCTGGAAGAAAACGATCGAGCAAAGAAGCTATGCCCCCGAACGACTGGCTGACTCCGGGATTTTTCTAGAGAAGCTAGCTGCCGGATCTTTTTTTTTTTGAAACGGAACACAGATTGCATTCCTCCTACATATCATTGCTGGGCAAGTCCCCAGCTACAAGGTTCTGAACAAACTCTGGGAATTGTCCCAGCCAAGTAATACATGCACCAGAGTTTAATGTTGCTCCAAACGCTGCTAGCCTATGCGCCACTCGGTTACATGTTCGTGAACAGTTTACAACACATACATCTGAAAAACCTACATGTAACTGAAATTTAATCTCTCTGAAAATGGCCCCTAGTGCAGACAGGTCATATTCCTCAGTAGACACAGCCCTTCTTAACTGTGTAGAATCTGTTTCAAACATCGCTCTATCACAGCCCATTTGGCTAGCAATGTTTATTGCATACAACATAGCCACTGCTTCAGATTGGAAAGCATCAGCCATATGTTCCAGTTTGCCAGCACCTGCAGCTACAGCTATACCTTGATCATTTCTAATGATAAATCCCCAACCTCCATCATTGGAAATCCTGTGAAAAGCTGCATCAGTGTTGATCTTCAATATTCCTGAAGCTGGTCTTGTCCACTTTTGCTTTGGCTGTTGGGCTATCCCCTTCCCTTTCTCCTGTACCTTCATGACATTTATAAAGTGATAATCAATAGAAGAGCAAATTTCATTCGATGGTTTAATGGCCTTCCCTTTATTTGCATTGTTTCTTTCATGCCACCAAAGCCAAAGTAATAAACTTGTTTTTAACTTGATCTCCTCCCTCAAATTAATAATTTCTTCGATGAAGTTTAAAGCATTAACACAGGGGATTAGCTGCAGCCTAACATGCTCGAGTTGAGCCATTCTCCATATTTCTCTTACTTTCTTGCATTTGATGAAACAGTGCCCCCCATCCTCATCCAATCTATAACAAATAGGGCAACGAGTGTCAACTTCCATACCTCTGTTTTGTAGCTTTGTTCGCAATGGTAAGCTATTGGTTGCTAGCCTCCATAAAAAATGGAGCACTTTGTTTGGGAGGGGCATTGTCCATAGTTTAAGCCAGTCAAATCCACCATCTTCTTCAGCTGCACTTGAGGTAGATGTTAGACCTGAGAGAGATTCTCGAGCTGCACAATCTATTGCTACTTTGTATGCAGATTTTACTGAAAATATACCTTTTTTATCATAGTGACATGCCGTGAAGTCCTCGAGATGATCTTGGATTGGGATCTGAAGGATACACTTTGTATCTTCCGGGGTAAAAGTTTGCCTCACTAGTTCTTCGTCCCATTTGTTGGTGATTGGGTTAATTAGCTCACTGACTTTAGTTATCAAATTATTGCCCCTATGGGAGACGACCCTTCTGGTGTTACCTCTCGGAATCCATGGGTCACTCCATATGTCAATATCCTTGCCATTCCCAGCTCTCCATATGATTCCTTTTCTCAGCAGCTCAACACCCTTTAGTATGCTGCGCCATGCATAAGAAATGCCACTACTTGGTCTCACCCGCAGAATTGAACATCCTGGGTAGTATCTACTTGAAAGAACATGGGCACAAAGAGAGGAGGGGTTTTGGAGCAGCCTCCATGCTTGTCTTGCCAGCATTGCCAGATTGAACGCATGTAGATCCCTAAATCCCAAGCCTCCATTTCTTTTTGATCTAGTAAGCCTCTCCCAGCTGACCCAATGCACTTTATTTTCCTTATCCATTTGGCTCCACCAATACCTATTAATCATGGTGCTCAGTTCTTCACATAGGCCCTTGGTGAGATCAAAGCACGCCATGCTGTAGACAGGAATAGCTTGTGCCCCGGCTTTTATTAGAATTTCTTTCCCTGCCTTCGAAAGTAGTTTCTCCTTCCAACCTTGAATCCTTTTCCATATTCTTTCCTTTACATATTCAAACATCTTCGCTTTTGCTTTGCCAACATATGTTGGAAGACCTAAATATTTTGATGCAAGGCCCTCAGTTATAATGTTCAATGTCCTCTTCATTTCTTCCTTTTGCCAAGGCCTCGTATTTTTACTGAATAAAATGGATGACTTGTCCTTGTTTATCATTTGCCCTGAGCAGCTTCCATATATGTTCAAGATGCGTTCAACTTCTTGAGCACTACTTGCACTAGCCTCCATTAGCAGCAGAGAATCATCTGCAAAAAGTAGGTGACTAACACTAGGAGCTCCTCTGCATATTTTAATTCCTCTAATTAACCCTCTCCTTTCAGCATTGTGCAGCATGGCTGAGAACCCTTCCGCACAAAGTAGAAACAGATATGGGGAAAGTGGATCCCCTTGACGAAGTCCCCTTTGGGGTGTGATTGTTTCAGTTACATCCCCATTCACTTTAATCTTGTATTTGACAGTGGAGATGCACTTCATTATCAAATTCATCCACCCTTCATCGAAACCCAGTCTATGCATCATCTCCTTTAAGAAGGTCCATTCGACACGGTCGTATGCCTTGCTCATGTCTAGTTTTATTGCTGCATAACCTACTGAGCCATTTCTTTTCCTCTGCAAAAAGTGTGTTAGTTCATATGCCAGCAGAGTATTATCAGAAATGAGGCGACCAGGCACGAAGGCACTCTGGTTAGGCGAGATTATATCAGGAAGAATTATTTTGAGCCTATTCGTTATTACCTTGGAGACCAGCTTGTATACCACATTACATAGGCTTATTGGTCTCATATCATTAATCTTCACTGGATTGTTATTTTTCGGGAGTAGCACAATAAGTGTATCATTCCAGCCCTCTGGCATGTTTCCTCCCCTCAGAATATGAAGCACTTCCTTGACCACTTGTTCTCCGACAATTTGCCAAAACTTTTTGAAAAAAATAGCAGGCATTCCATCGGGACCCGGGGCTTTGAGGTCACCCATACCATTTAGTGCTGCTTTAACCTCTTCTTCAGTGTACTCAGCACACAAAACATTGTTCATGCTCTCAGTCACCCTCGGTTGTACAACATGCATAACTTCCTCGATGTTGCTCCCTGTCACCGTGGTGGAGAAAATGTTCAAAAAGTAGTTTGCAATATGTTCCTTCAGTGCATCTTCCCCTTCTGCCCAGCTTCCATCATCCCTCTGTAACTTTTTAATTGTGTTTCTCCTTTTCGCTAGCTGCCGGATCTTGGCTACGGAGTCGTGGAGTTTGAGGCTCTGGAGGGCTACCGAACAGGCCCTAAACTGCACCGGCTAGCGTGTAAACTGTTCCATAGGGGCTTTTCTATCTGCATCTTTAGCACTCTCCTCCACACTCTCAATATTTAGGAATTTCCAGCTCCCATGAAAATGGCTGGCAGTACGGACTTCTCTATATGAATATCTATCATTATATTCTTTTGACAGTATATAAGATGTCTTTGGATCGTCTATATATTATTCAACTTTGATCAGCAGTTAATCGATATTGTGCAGTTTTTGGGGCTGCTGCGCCATAGCCTTCGTCATCGCCCTCTCGCCACCACCAAATAGGAGGAAGAAGTTTTTCTGGCGAGACTATAATCAAGTACATGTGAATCACGTTCGACTAACATAATTCAAACATCAAAATGAAATCAGTTCTGGACAATTTTGGAAAGCAAATTTTCTTATATTTTTGTTTTCTTACTCAAATATTATTGATGAGCACAAAGATAGTAATATATACTCCCTCCTTAAACTAATATAAGGGCATTTAGATCACTATTTTAGTGATATAAACATTCTTATATTAATTTATAGAGGGAGTACATGTTAAAATTATACACCCTTTTCGAAAGAAGTGTATAACCAAACACATGCATATTGCAAGCACGCAAGACAATCAAGTATGATATGTTGTTATTTATACAGAAAAGTTAAGAAATTTAGTGACATTAAGTACAGAAAAAAGGCTATAAATGCATAACTGATAGGCTATGGTGGCACAACCATTGGATGAACAAATTTTGACTAAAATTTTGGACGGCTTAGAGTAAATTATCCCATCTAACTCTTATTTTTCATATTAGTACAGCAAAGTTTGTTGGTGAGAATCTCTATACGAAGATATCTTCTGAATTTGCCACTCCCCATTTTCCGATCTCTGCCTCCAGTATATTCTTTCGCTCAGGCTTGATTTCCTTGGCGAACACTACGTGCAATCTTTCAAGAACAAGCGCATTCTGAAGCAAGAGCTTGGCCAAGCTCTTCTCTGGCTTGAGGCCCTCGTAATTTTCCATGGCGATCTCGCGCACCCGATGCCGCAAGCATGGAATCGACAAGATCGACGCGGGGACGTTGATGTCACCGTACTCCTCTTTTGACCTCTCCATCAGCAGCGTGAGAACCTCCAGGTTCGGGGTCTGCTCCAAGACCATGCGCAACGCGTCAACGCTGTGGTGAGTCTGGATACAGCCTTGCAACGTGAGCCTCGTCAGGCTGGAGAAGAGCGGGAACCCCGCGACCCCGAAGAACTTGCTCTCCAAGCTCTGGTGGTGGAGACGCAGGTGAGCCACGCCTTGGATTTTGTCGAGGAAATCTCTAAACCTGACGAACTGAGCCTCCTTGGAGAGAGGCCTGCAGAAATCGATGGTGCATGAAGGAATGATCGCCGGCAAGCGGTGCAGAGACAAGAGCGACCCCGCAGGCACCATGCCACGGTAGTCCAACAACTTCAGCTCCGCCGCGTCGATTATAGCGGACTTCAGGTCGTGGCAGCAGCGGATGGAGAACCGGCGGAGGCGTTTGTCGAGCACGGAGATCCTTTTGAGGTTCCACAATGCTTCCAGCGTCAGGTCGGCGAGGCGGGGGCAGCTCGAGATCAGACACTGGATGCTTTCCCCGGAGTCCCCAAGGGCCGTGAGGCGCATCGTCTCGAGGACCGGCAGGTCAATGGTCAAGGTCGTCCGTCCGAGCTTGAACCGGCAACTGTTGATGCACAACGTTCTTAGGGCGGCACAGGACAAGAGCCTTGGCGGAAGGAGATACCTCCACTTAGTTTCTTCGTCCGAGTCACTGCCTGCTCCGCCGCTATCATCATCATCATCATCATCGGTGCCGTCACTGTCGCTGTCAGATGCTGTACAGACCGGGCCTAGGTAGAAGCACATATCGAGGTGCAGTTCTGCCAGGTGGCCGACATGCCTACGTGGCGCCACGTAGGAGAGCCACTGGTCGACGGCGACCTTGTCCCACCAATGCCATTTGTCAAAGGCGAAACGGAGGCTGCGCGGCGGCACAGGGAGGCCAGCACAGCGGCGGTGGCAGAGGAGCGCGGCGTTGACGTCATCGAGGAGCTTGGTGCTGCAGCTCTTCCTCTCCAACGCCTGCACGTAGTAGGTGTACCAGTCATAGGCCCTCTCGCCCTTTGTCTCCTCGAACGAGATGGTGTGGACGCTGCCGAAGACGTGGCGCCACCGGCGGGACAACGCCGCCGCGCGTGCCGCCTCCTTGGTGGGGAGGAAAGAGAGGACGTGGCCCAGCACGTCGTCGGTGAGGCCGCTGATCCGGTCCCTGTGCCTCCTCGACGAAGACTTCTTCTGCTCCTTCCGTGAAGCCATGTCGCTATCTAATCTACCTGTGCTCGTGCTGTATAGGTTGAGGTCCTGCAAACGTTCAATGGGTGGCTACCAATTTAAGGGTAAAGGTTTAGTTATCCCCCAGGCGTGTTGCTGACTTGGAGTACAAGTCGAGAAAGGTCGGTAAGAGATCAAAACACAAATGAAAAAAGAAAGATCAAAACGGAACCATACCTATACTCCTCGTCAATAACCACAGGGGCGGCCGGCCGCGTCTGATCAACGAAGATGAAGAGGCGCAGGCGGGCGGACCGGCTGAGCGCTCTCCCCGACGAGATGCTCGAGCGCATCCTCTCCCACCTCCGGTCCGACGAGGCCGTGCGCACAAGCGTCCTCTCCCGGCGATGGCGCGACGTCTACGCCGGGGTACCCGTCGTGGACCTCGTCGATCCCAAGGGCGGCAGGTGGAACGAGGTCCGGGTCTGCTTCGACCAGCAGGTGACGGGCGCGATCCTCTGCAAGGGCCCGGGGACGCCCATCCGCACCTTCCGCCTCAGCATCTCCAACCCACCGCGCGACCTGCTCGATCAGTGGATCGTCTCCGCAGTCTCCTCTTGCGTCGAAGAGATCAACGTCAAGCTCATATACTGGTTTTCCTCCGACCACCGCCTCTGCCCCTTTACCTCGTCGGGCTCGGCGGACTTCGATAGCTATGATAGGGGAAGGTACGTCAGGACGCAGCACCACCTCTTTGGGTGCCCCACTCTCCGCCGCCTGCGCCTGACAAACTGGACGCTCGATCTGCCAGGAAGAGTGTCCATGGAGTCGCTGGAGATGCTCTGCCTTGCGAGGATCATGTGCCCAGAAGGGATGTTGCAGCAGCTGCTTTCGAGCTGCCCACGCCTCGCTGACCTGACCCTGCAGGAGTGCCCAAGTCTCAGGAAAATCACGGTGATCAGCCCCCACCTGCGGAGTTTCACCATGATCTGCTGCCACCATGCCAGGCGCATCAAGCTGAGCAGCTCATGCATCCGGTCACTGCACTATAAAGGCGGCCTTCCACGCAAGTCGCTCTTCAAGCTCGCAAACCATGCCGGAGTCACGGCGCTGACAGTTGAAATTTGTGAAGGCCTCTCCGGAAAGGAACCAACAGAATTTGCTCCGGCCACTAAGCTCATCAAACGGTGCACCAAACTGGCGTACCTTCACCTTTCCTTGCGCCCATCAATGGCTTACTATAGCAGCCTGTTCAAAGATGCGGTGCCCTGCCTACAGCATCTTAGGCAGTTAGGCCTCCAGTGTTGCCTACGCAACGATCGCGACATCCAGTCAGTTGCCATCTTGCTTTGTGACACCCAGAACTTGGAGGTACTGTCGCTGTTTCCTCTGGATGCAAAGACTCCAACGGACATGCACACCGAATCAGATAGCGAGCCTGAGAACGACGGTGAGGATGGTGCCGATTATAGTAGCCAGGTGACCGATGGTGGTTTCTGGCCAACGCCCATCAACTGCTTGGATGATAAGCTGAGAAGAATCAACATTGGGATGTACACAGGGCTGCAACTCCAAAAGATGCTTGCAAAGTTTCTGCTTTCAAAGGCTGCAGCTTTGGAGGAATTCTCGGTGACCTTAACGGCTGGATGTTCCCAAAATAAGCGTAAGATTGCAAAGAAGCTAAGATCCTGGCGATCGAATCACCATACCAGAGTAACTGTAAATAGATGATAGCAAAAGTTGTGATTGCACTTGAAAAATGTAAAATTAGAAGGAACAAGCTAGGGTTCTTTTAGTAACACTTGGATATAAGAGATACCATTTCCTTGAATATTTCCCCTGTCAAATTAACTTTATTTTTTATTGACATGGAAACCCAACAGACTGGCACTATAGTCCGACGCATACGACCTGGTGAGTATGTTTGTAAGTTGCAGAAGGCAGATAATTCGATGATAGAACAAATCACAACATAGCTGATAGAATTGAAATGCATCTGACAAGGCTAGTAGAATTGAGATCCGATCTGACAGGGTTATTGAAATTATATATCACAGGCAACATTAGTTCAGGGGTTACAATGGTACCCCCTCCGTTCACAAATATAAGATGTTCTAACTTTTTTCCAAATCAGGTGTATATAGACACGTTTTAGTGTGTTTGTTCATTCCTTTCAGTCCGTACATAGTCCATATTGAAATATCCAAAACATGTTATGTATTTATGCATTATTAAGATGAGTTGGAAGAACAAACTCTTTCCTAGGGAGAAAAATAATAATTATTATTATTATAGCTTAAGTTGCATACGCAAACAAAAACCTCAAGATTAAGCTGCTTGAAAATCTGCCACGTTACCGAGGCATAATACTGGAATTAATACTTTGAAAGTAATCAAGGTACTCAACTACTCCCTCCGTTCCCAAATATTTGTCTTTCTAGGCATTTCAAATGGACACAACATACGGATGTATGTAGACATAATGTAGAGTGTAGATTCACTCATTTTGTTCCGTATGTAGTCACTTGTTGAAATCTCTAGAAAGACAAATATTTGGGAACGGAGGGAGTATTAGGCAACCTGGCATGATGAATGTGGCATGCAAGTTCAGTTGACATAATTGAGTAATTGTCATCAGGATGCAGTGGTCTGACCAAACCATCATAGCTTAACTCCCTCCGTTCGGAATTACTTGTCGCGAAAATGGATGTATCTAGAACTAAAATACGTCTAGATACATCCATTTCCGAGACAAGTAATTCCGAGCGGAGGGAGTATATAAGTGGCACACCATTCAACCGCTCAGAAGCCATCCAGGCCCATAATGTAGAAATGTGTAGGAAGGTTTGAATGTCCATTCCATATCAAGACTGAGTGGTTTGAGGAATAGAAGGTACAATGAGCTTGCGCCAATTCAGAGCTAGTCATATTTGCACACAGATCTCGAAGTAAACATGAACCATGACCCTACAATCCAAATGAACCAGTGTTAGAGTGGATAAAGTAACTGTATAACAGCATGGGATGTGCACTGCAAATCAGCAATCATTCATCATCCAACGCAAATTAAATGGACTCGATCATTAGATTTTCTCTTCTTGAAATTTGCAAAAGTAAACCTGTAAGATATGTATAACTTAGTGTTGTATCCAGCAGCGGAGCTTGAGCCAATAATACAATATTAAGTCTGCCACTAGTATACAATACGCACACATACACTCCCTTCACATCATCCAAAAACCTGAAGCACCAAGGCATTTCAACAAAAGATTGTATCATCAGATTAAACGCATATACACACATACACACCATGATCACTTACAATACTTCAACCGGCAAAGAAGTGGTAGCAAGCTCTTGACATCTGCCCCCTGTAAACTTATCATCAATTCATCATCAGGTTTCTCTTTCTGTACTTGGTGTGTCAATCTCAGAGTCACACACTTATCCTCAAGATACGGTCTCTTGCGGTCATCAATTGTGCATCCAAAGTAATGATTTTGCTCATAAGAGAGTCCTTGTCATCCTCAGTAGGACGCAAAAAGGCAGCTAACTCCATCGCTGTTTCATTAGTACTGTCAAGCAAGAAGTCATCTAACTCCACCACTAATTCTTTGTTACTGTCACTGCCATCCATCAGAGTTTGGCTGAGTGACTGCAGTGCAGTGACAAGGATAGAGGAAGTTTCTTCTGTGCCCACGGGACCATCATCTGCAACACTGTCTCCAGTAACTTCAGTTTCTGAATCCTCCTGTGACAAAGAGGGATTTTAGTATGCATAAGAATTCAAGTATTTGTCTACAGAAATTGTGTAAGACTGTATTTTCCAAGATTACAGCACCAATTTAGTTAGGCTTTTACACAGGCAGTGAAGGTGAAATGTGATATTGTTCCACCAGAAAGTATTTGTAGAGGGCTTTTTAGTGGACAAAAAATCTAATCTTAAACATGTGCAGTACAGCAGCACTATAAAATATGCTTGTGCTATCATGTAACCGGCACAAAAGCTCAAGCTAAAATTTTATAAAATTGCATCCTCGTACTAATGAACAATCTGCAATTGAATTCTCAAACTACGATTAATGTAAATCAGGCATGTTAGTGTGTCTAAACCTAAGCTAAGAACTGGTCAGAAGCTTTTCACAATAATGTCCAACGCTCAAGTAAATTAAATGCACACGATGTACAAAAAAAAGCATAAGGATACTTCACACATAAGCGTGGGCTCACCTTGCTTGGCAACAAAGAGGGAGGCCATGCCATAACATAAGGATGGACCTCCACATTATCACGATATGCATCATGAAAGAGCTCGCTCATTTCCGATGTTTCCAGGCATAATGATAGGTACAACTCACGAGACTGTGTGTCCTTGACATAGAAAATAGACAGGTATACAAAGCCATCGATGACCTCCACAAGCTCCACCCTGGCATTACAACCCTCTTCCTCCATCGAGAACCCGGTGAACTCCTTAACAATCGGGTTCAATGGGAACTCCTTGTACATTATCCACCTCCTGACGGCAATGTCATCGTCGGATGTCAGGAACCAAGAAAGAAGTGCGCCATCCTTTATATCCACGATGCAGAGCTTCTCATCTTTGGTCTCGCCAAGCTTATATGTTGATTCATCACACTCTGTCTCCAATTGCTTCGGCACATCAATTAGAGAGAACTGAAAAGTCGCCGTGTCGAGCACCACAATTTGGTCATACATCCAGTTTTGCCACCAGATGAGTCCATGCGTCATCGTGCCAATCTCGGCCGTGAGAGATTCACGCAGCCCCAGCAGCGTACTAGCTGGGAGAATTTGCCACTCCATGGTGTCCGACGAGAAGACAGCGACACGCTCCCGCCATTGGCGGTGGTGACAGATACACACCACACGGGACGGCCCCTGACGATATGCGGAGGGGATAGTATAGAACCCAAGGTCGATGTCGATGTAGCGTAACCCCGGCCGATAGATGTTGAGATCCAGAGCCTGCGTCAGCGGGTTGTGGGCGGCAGCCCGGCTCCGCTCGGCGCTGCCGCCCCAGCTGA